TAAGTTTACCTCATTTAATTGCAATATTACTGTATTATTGTATAGATACTATGTATTCTAACTTGACTTGTTCCATATCGTATGGTGTCTCACCTGTACTGGATTTACGGAAGGTAAATAAAATTCAATTCAATTCAATTCAATTCAATTCAATTCTTGTGCCCCCATCATCAGGGTTGATGTAGTGAATGACCCCCCCACACACAGACACACATACACATGCATGCACGCAAACACAAGGCTTCTCCTGAAAATGTAGTTATTATGTTCCTGCTTTCCAGCACGGAGCAGCTGCAAATGGTGGGCTCAGTGCCATGCCATTGAGCAGTCTGTGTTTTTATATCAAGTGAGGTTATGTTAGAAGCTCTCTGCATATCAAGGAAAGCTTGTGTTCAATTGCACTTGAACTGTGCATCACAAGTTTAATAAGTGTAATTTCTGTGGATTTTCCAGTTTGGTAGGCATTTTGCTTTTGACAATGCAGAAGACACTCCCCCAACACACCATCCTTAATATGTCTGTCCACTAACTTCTCTACTGTCTTTCAAGTTGGTTGAGGCTACAAGCCGGAAGGTCGCGGGTTCAAGTCCCGCTGAGGTCATTGGATTTTTTTCAATTGACCTAATCCTTTCAGCCACCCTATGGCCCTGGGGTCGACTCAGCCTCTAACAGAAATGAGTACCAGGAATTAATTAAATAATTTTCCTGGGGAGTAAAGTGTGGCCAGCGCATAAGGCTGACAACCTTAGCACCATCTTTGAGCCGATTGTCTAGATAATGTGGGACCCTCAACATCTCACAACCCTATGGGCCTTCACGGCCTGTTACAGGTATAGCTTTACTTTACTTTTACTTCAAGAGAAAGAATGATACTCTATCAGAGTGATAAGCTTTCACATGAGTACATTAAGATATTCCAGGCTCTGGTGCTAATGCCGATTTCACTTGTCTCCAAGTTACAGAAATATATCCATGTTTGAGACAAGTTCTAAATCATCAATCAACCCTGTGTCTGGAAAGTGGGCTCTGAAAACCTCTTTCAGACTTCCAGCTTTATGATGAGTGTATTGAGTGTTGGGTAGCTTGATGCTGCTAACCCTGTTAGGGGCCTGTTTTTCCATGACCCTGGTGATTCTGACACTGTTTGATATTCCTGTCACATGGTACTCCATCAGGAAAAGGCATCGCACTGATATATTTATATAAACATATATATACACACACACACACATTAGTGGCATATAGCCATTCACCTCATTGACCCTGATGATGGAGATGGAGAATATTTCTGAAATGCTGGTTTAAACTTGACACTGACAGCTGATTGCCCGAGAAGATGTTAGCATGTTTAGTCACCAGGAAGGCTTCAAACCTTACATACAAAATTTTTAATTTCAGAATAACATACCAATAATAAACGATACNTTTTAAATTTAAAATTTAGAGAAAATTTTAAAAGATTTTAAAAACATCATAACTAAAGATTTTTAGAGTGCTACTACAAGAATATCGGGTTTGACGTGTGCAACATAATCTACATACCAGACACATATCAACGATGTAGATGTTGATAATACGAAGAACGTGACATTGTGTTTTTAAATGTTAAGTTTTAGACTGGGTTCAGTGTGGCAGCAACGTTAAGAGTATACACCTGATGATGGCCGATAGAGGCCGAAACATGTAGTGTAGAAGGAACAAGATCAAAGACATATAAATGTATATTGTTTGCACTTAGGACGGAGTTTGTATCGTTTATCATGTGGAGTGCAGCAGGATGCGTAAATACGTATAATATTGTAACATACCAAAGTTAAGCTTATATAATCTGTGCTTAAATGTTTCTTACCTAAACAGTGGCCTATATGAAACTGGCAGAAGGGTTGTAATGATGATCAGATTATATCTGCATTTTTATTTGTATTTTCCAACATGTCACAGACAAACATTTACTTACTCTGAACATTTGCTGGTTGCTGGTCATGATCTGAATCGTGGCTCCTAGCCCAGAGTGTCTGCTTTGGGAGGCTGTTAAGCATCTGGATGAACATTCTCATATCATGATAAGAGAGACGAATGTTTAACTGCTGATGCATCTGGATCTGAAATATTTAATTACCTACAATGAATATGACTGCAACATTTATCATCCAGAAATAGGGGATTTTCAGATGTGGTTCTATGCCGTTGCATGTCTCATTTCAACTGAGTACAGACTGTTCTCATTCTAAGTGAACAGGGATAAAAAAATGATCACTGATAAGAAACCCACTTAACAGTGAGGGCCAAATTTCGACAAGAGTTAAGATTTAATTGGGACTGTGACATGACAGTACATCCATAGCAATGGTAAAGACTCACTTCCAACACTCTGTCAGTTTGTGAGACAGCAGCATCTGGGATGCCCCTTGTGGTCCCACTGTGCAAGCGGTGTGTCACATCCATGTTCACAGTCACAGGGTCAATGATTGAGAGAGCAGTCTCATCCTCCATGCCCAGGATGCAAGAGAACATTTCACAGTGGTTCAGATTGCAAGACAGGGGCTTGTCAGCCAGTATGGGGTGATATGACACAACAGTTGTGCTCTGAAACAAATTGGTGAGATTCTGCTGCATGAATTGAAGTTAATAATCTCAGTATTAAATTTTCTCCACTTAGGACTGTTCTCATTTTATTGTCCAAATCTACTGCTCCCAAAAGAAACAATGAAACGTGGGTTCCACTGCATAAGTTTATCCCTACTGCCACAACATGAAGTAAGAATACAGCACTACCACAAACACAAATCAGAAAGCCATGGTATTAGATCTAACTACAAATTTATTTACTTTGTTTGCTGCATACTCCCTCTCACACACTTGCACACACATTTACTATCAACCAGTGGCTAATCTTGTTCAAATATCCTTATTCTTAGTAACAGGTGGGTAAAAGCAAAATATTTTGGTTCCCTTCCACTCTGTTCTTCCACTTGCGGCTCAGGAGAGAAGATCCTTTCATGCTAGTTTGAGCACCTTGTAGAAGACCACTGAAACATGCTCATAAATACAAAATGTTTCACCCCTAAGTTACGGCTGTTAATTACTAATGAAGCATGGCAAACATACTTTGATTTACAGGTTTCTTTATAAACATCCTGCACAAAATATGTCTTGAGATTAGCACCATGTAGGAGGTAACAAGTTGGGTCAAACAGAAATATTTTCTTATGGACTGTACAATGCACCCATATCACATAAGGAAAATTATACTTGCCAACTGCAAGGCATGAAAAAACAGTAGGCAGAATTTTCTGGGCAGGAGGAGGGGGCATGTGTGCATGCTCATGCATATATACACAACCCAAACTCAGTGAAATTACCACAATCACAGGAAGAAATAGCTTAGATTATATATTATAAAATCAATAAATTCAACAGGTATATTAAGAAGCCAGTTCTAAAATAACTTAGTTCTAAAATAACTTTTCCTAGAGACACCTTGTTACCTTCAGGATGACTGCATTTGTGTCCCACTGAGATGTGTCTTCCACAACCACAATTTCAGAGTCAGTGATATTAAGTTTGAATTCAAATGGAACTTCCTCAGCCAGCTGACCCTTCATGGTACTTGCTTCCCCATTAGATAGCTGATCTGATTTGGCTGAAATATCAGTACGGCTGATTTGGTTCCCTGAAGCTGTAATATTCATGGATAATTACTGTTGAGGATTTACAAGAAAGAAGAATGTTGTGATACCTCAAATACTGTATAAGAGAAATGAGAGATTCTCTAAAACTATTTAATTACACATTGCGGCTATTAAGATCTACAATACAGTAACAAAGCAGGAATGGCAGCTCTTCATGTCATAACTGGCTCTAGAAAGTATTAATCCTCTCTCCAGCAGTCATCAACCAGTCGCCACACAATGTTCACATTGTAATATAAGCCTTAACTAATACAAGCCAGACGCTGATGTCAGGGTGTTTAGCTGCAGCTGCTGGCCCACTGGTTTAGGCTGACGTTCAAATGCTTAGCAGTGACTGAGTAAGATGTCCTTTAAACTAACCTCCATAAGGATTGTCGACATTCTCCATAATGAAGTCTCTGACAGCTTCCCACCAATCCAAAATGGCCATGAGCCGCATGTTGTTCAACAGGATAGTGAATTTTGAGAAATCTCGCCTCTTCCTGTCAAATAACAAAGTGTAGGATTCACTTACTGCAGGTCATGTTACACTTGTGCAACATCTAATCAAGCCCTTCCAGAAATACAACATAAGAACAGAGTAGACATATAGTATGTTTATATTTATCACTAATTTCAAGTAGCAGTTATTGTGAAGCCAAATGAAGCAATTCTACACACTTTTGTTAACACCCAAAGGCACACAAAGGCATCATACTGGTCCGTATCCAATCCACATCTTCATGTTCTCACACAGCAAAATGGCACCTATGTGAAATATTTCCAATCTGACGAAAGACCACTATACCATATGAAATGAGGTAAGGTGGAAGGCTATAGATTAGGCACATGTGAGTATCAAATTATCCAGATCGAAATGAGAAAAAGAATTCTCCATCTTGAATCAAATGTTAATTTTTCATTCTGAATTCTGAGTATTTTCTGATAACTGCATTTGCTCTACACATTGGGACACATGTGACTGGTATGGCATCTGCACCTGAATGGAAGGCAAGTCTTTTTCCCACATTAAGGGTGACAAAACTATCATGAATCTCAGTGTCATATATTAAATGCTTTCAATCAGTATTATGCTTTCACTTTGTTCATAGCACAGCTCATGCTAACATGCTCTGACAGCAGCAACAAAGAAAGCAAAATACAGATATATGTTTCAAGGTCAGAAGCTGTAAGTTGCCATAAAGTTTCCCAAAATACCATCAAAGTTATGAAGCACAAGCAATAAGTCACCAGTGTATGCTATCATGAGATTCTGCGCCAACACAATTGTTGCTGGCAGTTTATACCAAGGAAAGGGAATAATGTGTCAAAAGTAACAGGCATCGCATTTCTCATTTATATTTTAACCTTTATGAGCCGAAAGACACCGTATGGGGACCTTTACATTATGCCGAGATGGCCGAAGGACACCGTATGGTGACTCGCAGGCCGCGTGTGCGCAGTGTTTTAAAATCTAATTTTAATATAGAAATTTTTGTTCTACTTATATTATTTTTGGACACCAGCTTTATAAGTAGACTGTTTTCCCTCCTGCATCATCTAACTGAATGTTGCATGTCACTGAATGCAGAGCCCGACATCGCAATTCATGCACTTTGTCCATAATTAACCGTTTTCCACGCGAAGCGCGCACACGCAATGTTAGTCTTGTATTAGCAGGAAGTAAGCCAGTGATGGCGAGTGGTGTCCTCTATTCATAATGCTTATAAAACATCGCAATTTCAACTATGCACCATGGCCCCTTTTCGCATTGAAGAAGTCGAAATTGAGAGGCCGCTCATAAATCACACCATTTTGAATGCGTTACGGTTTATTCTGAAGGGACATGGAAGCAGGTGGAATCAGGTGATAATCCAAGAACTGCCTCTGTGTGGATAGTCCGACAAACGTGACTAAACAAACAGAGTTTCATACGGCAATGTAGGATAAGAACTCGCCCACACTCAGGTATACAGGAAGCCTACCTGACGGGAGAATGTGCAGTACGTAAACATCTTCTCCTATTGCCAGATAAAAAACACAGACAGTGCATCAGCACCATGCATTTATACTGCAGAAACGTATTGTGCAGAAGCTTTATGCATTTTTGTGGACACGCACAAAATTGGGAAAAATTTTTTTGGAATCAATGTAACAATTTTTACAGATTCTAAAATCTGTAAATTACAGTATCTGATTCTATATACTTTCTAGATAAAAGTAGCGTTTATTTCGTTCGTTTATCACAAAAATTGTAGAAATCACAGCATTTTGAGTAACATGATTACAATTTTTATTACTCTACAATGGCAGGCATTTAAATTAACTCCGTCCCGCTGCCACTACCGGAATTTAAATGGCCTGTCCCCTAATCGTTAAACCTGTGATGATCAAATATGGAGAACAAACACACTGTGAAACACAGCAAGAAAATAAGTGTCCGTCAAGACAAGAATCCTAAGATGGAAACAACAAGATTTGGAACTTATGCCATTTTTATGTGAAAATTGTTATTCATGCAGAGTCAAAGACAGAATCGAATGCCAGTTTTGTGTAATGTCGTTACTCAGTGTGAGGTTAAATTTTAAGTTCGGTTCAGGGTGAAGTGTACAAATGATTCTGAAGAATCTTTACAGTGAAGGAAGGTCTTCATTCTAATAGTAGTATTAACCATCACACATCAAGGCAATGAAAATGAACTGTCTATATATTTCAGTATGCTATCCAATTACATGATCACAAATGATCACAAATGTAAGTGCAAAATCTGCTGTCATGAAAACATCAGGCAATGAAAAGATGCAAGTGATTGTAACACAGACAGAATTGGCAGGCAGCATCAAAGCACACTATCAGAAAGTTTCCGGGCTAGTTTAAAAGCATCACACAAATTTGGTTGTGCCATAACTCAAGCAGTTAGTCGCTGGCTTCCCACCGCAGCGCCCTGGGTTTGATCCCAGGTCTGGTCAAGTGGGATTTGTGGTGGACAAAGTGGTGCTGGAGCAGGTTTTCTCAGAGTACTTCAGTTTCCCCTGCCAATCTTCATTCCACCAATTGCTCCACAAAACAGTTGGAATCTAGCCAGCGGAGAGTTACGAGTTAGCCAGGGAGTCAGTCAACCAGTCAGTTGTAGCCTAGCCTTCGCAGGCCAAGTAATTGTAATACTGCATATAGCAGTAATTGTGAATCTGTAAAGGCTGTGATTGTAAGAGCGAGTGGAATAAATTCGCTATATCCAATAAGGCGTGAAGTTATTTGTCGCGTTATACACCCAACACGTGACAATTTGGTGTCAGAAGTGGGATTGGACTTACACACGTGATCAACAAGTTTC